TTAACTATGCTTTAACTTAGGTTGCTGTGGAGAACAGATTAAAATTTGATTCTGAGTGTTCCCTAAAGACTCAGAAACTTGAAGACAAGCCAAAGAAGCCCAGAAGTATTAATATGACTGTTCTTGTTACTGCTGATACTATTGCTGTAACTGCAACGTAAGGAAAAAAAAAAAAAATCATCTCTTACAGCCAGTCTTGTAGTTTAGGGGGCTGAACTCATATTATATGAATGCCTGAAGCGCACACTCAACCCCCATTTTAGCCTCCACACAGCACACACCAAAATTTTTCTAAATTTTCCTTATTCTTCTCTCAGTGTAACAGGATTCCTTGTTAATGTGGCACCAATTTATAAGTTAGTCCTCAAGCTGGAAAAGTAAAGCATAAATTCCAAGTATCAAAATCTCAAAGACATAGGAAGTTCAAAGAAGGGGTGAACATATTCTGTTCTCTGTTACACATGGCTCCTTTCTTTGGGACAATGTGTCAATGAACCTGCATTGTTCATTGTATTATTCAGCCCAAAGTAATTTGGTGAGGGGGGAAGCAAAATATTCCCCAAAGCAAATACATTCGATTTCAGGATTTTTTTCTTTTTCACTTTTACCATAGATGGTTTCTTACACACACACATATGCACATACATGCTCTCTTTGAGGCTTTAAGTTATGTTTGTCCATGGTGCTGCTGCCTTAAGCAATACCGACTCCTACATGGTTCTGCTCCTGGGCTAGCAAAAAAGAATCCCAGGAGCCTGAGGCTAAAGAGAAGTTCCTCAGCTGATGAGCTAATGAGAGATGGCTCCACTGGGAGAAAATACATGGAACCAAGTTCTCATGAGAGTGAGAACTGTCAGAAAGCAACAAAAATATCTGAATTCTTTTTTACGTGGAAAAACAGTTCATGGTTGAAGCCAGCTGGAAGATTTCTGCTTCTCAGCATATCTGGGTAAAAAAATAAATAAATAAATCTAAGTATGGATTATGCTTGAGTATATATATATATGTTCTAACAACATTCTGCTTTTTTATTTGTTTCAGCTTTTTACCAAAGTCTTTCCTAACAACAACAACAAAATAATAATAACCATATGTTTTAGTCTTAGGCACCAATCTGTATCTGTAACTTACAAATATGGTTCTTAACATCTCAAATTCCCATGTATAGAATTTTACAAATTTTGTTTCAGAGCTGAATGAACCAACCAATTTTATTTTGTCAATAATCTAAAGAAACATCCTACAGCAGATTTTTAAAGGGTGTTAAAGCCTTAATTAAGGCAGTTTGGAAGCATGTTAAAATTATGCACAGATGTAAATATTGTATTGAAAGAGGGTGGACCTAAACGGTGTTAAGAATCTGTCTTGAATAAGTACTTGTGGCCTGTAGAAAGGACAGAAAATTGTTTCATCCTTTCCTCCAGCCTCTCACCTCTCTGAGCAGCAGGGTAGAGCACGTCAGGTCAGGCAGAAGGACCAGCACCATTGTTCTGTAATATATAGAACCCTCACCCCCTGCCACGCCATGGAGAGAGCCAAAAAGCCCAACAATTTCTGACAGATCTGACCAATGTGAGAAATGTTCCCTCCCAGTCCCAAGCTGATTCACAAATTTACCCATAGATATAACACCAGGAAACACCTACTGAGTTCCTCAAACACAAGGATGCCTGTATCTTCCAACTGTCACTGTCAACATGAACTGTCTACAGACTGGGATGTCTGAGAATGTGTTTCACTGGGCTTCCACAAGTGCCACAATCTCCCTGAACTGGCTGTTTGAAGAGGATATATGGTAGAATGATATCTACCATCTTCCTCTTACTAAACAGGTAGTGGTGGCAGACTTAATGCTACAGTATGTACAGAGGCCTTTTTCATTTTATTTTATTATTTTATTTTATTTTATTTTATTTTATTTTATTTTATTTTATTTTATTTTATTTTATTTTATTTTATTTTATTTTATATTTTATTTTATTTTATTTTATTTTATTTTATTTTATTTTATTTTATTTTATTTTATTTTATTTTATTTTTGAGAAAAAACAGAATTGAAACAGACTTTTGTGTCCAAAGGGTAATCAAAAAACAAGTGAACAAACTGTGTAAGAAGTGAACAAAGTGTTAATTTATAAATTACTTTCTTAATCAGTCATAATCAACAGATGAAATGTAAGCAATAACCCAAGAGGGTACCAGGTCATGTGGAGCAGTCAGTGCGAAGTGCTGAGGAGCTAACACACCACATGGATAGCATGCAGCTGTGAACCACAGGGCACTGAAAAACTTGCTTTCCCCAACTGTTAGGTTGTAACCTGGATTTTGCTCACTGCTAAGAATGTCTGAAGGCTCAGAGTAACTCAGAAGCTCCAAGCAAAATGTTGGGGCCAACAAAGGTTGGGCGAAGGTGAAGGTCGGGCATGTTTTTTGCTGTACCATCAGAAATCTTACCTGTTTAAACTGTCATTGTTGAGTCATTGTCTTCAACTGTGCTTTTGATAAATGTGTGTATGTACCTAATCTATCGGCTTTCCAGAGGTCCTAAGAATTTAAAAAAAAAAAAGACAAATGTATCCCTTTGGTCAAATTTGAAGCTTAGATTCAGAAAAATGTATTTTTCTTGTTTATGGAACCCTGAATAAGGACACAGATGAGACAGATGTAGCGTAAATTTATAGAAAGATTAATACAGTCTCCTTTCAGCCTCACCTGAGTATTAACACTTCAGCTACCCTAATATTTGGACTCACACAAATTTGATTTCCTATCTCCAGCATATTAGAGAAAGACAACAAAGTGAGACTGATGGACTTAAGTACCTCTTAGAAATCAAATAACTTTTGAATCAGAGACCCAGAAGTAAAACAAAATGTACTTTTGCTTCTGGGTTTTTCTTTATACTAGTTTTTTTCTTTTCATTGTGGTCCCTCATTTCCCCACCCAGACAAAATGCAGCTATGACAACATGGAAATCCCCTGAGCAGCACAGCTCTGATAGTAAGATTGTTCAAGGCTCAGCCGAAATATTATTTCTGAAGTCTTTTCTTTTATTTTGCTTCAGCTGAAACAGGAAAAAAGAAAAAAAAAAAAAAAAAAAAAAAAAAAAAAAAAAAGAAAAAAAAAAAAAAAAACGATCAAAGTGATAGCCCACTCAATTATAAACAAGAAAAATTTAAAGTGAGAAGGTGTAATTTCCGGATAACAATCAGTTTGCATGGGAGACCCCTTCTTTATTGATGTTTCTTGCTGAAAATGCAGTAGAAATTACCTTGAGGGTTTCTAGAGTAATATGATGTCAAATATTACTAAGCCAGGTGACGAAATCCTGAAATAAACTTTTCTAATAAGATAGGGTAGGCCACAGGGACATGAATTCACCAAGACCCAATCTCTTTGATTCACATTTAGGGTCAATGAGCTTGGAGTCAAGTAAAGGAAACTCAGGAGGGAGAGGTGAGGGGCTAACTACTCCTAAAGTCCTGCCTGCCCTAAAAGCCCTCTGAAAGAGGGTATTTCTTTAAAGGGACATTGTATGTATCTGGTTGCCCCAGATAATTTTTTAAGGCCATCCTGAGCAGGGTCTGGTCAGGCCAAGGTGCTGCCATGTCCATTGCATTTGGATAGTTCCCTCCAATGTCCATGAGCAGGATGTATCATGGAGGTCTGCCAAGCAGACCCCTTTTTCACCTTGGGCTTTTTTGTACCATGGAGATAAACATATATATTTAGGGGCTTAGACTTTGTCTTTTGAAAGTCTGTGTTAGGATGAGATGAATCATGCTGCCCACCAAGTATACAGGGGGAAGGTCTGAGAAGCTCTAGCATAGAATATACACTGCAAATACCTATATTTCATCAGGTGAAGGGTCCCATCCCAGGACAGGACTTGATACAGGGGTGAGAAATTTCCAGCTTCCAGGCAGCCCTGCTGAGCTCTCATGGAAAGGGGGCTATTTCCTCCTATTAAAGCAGTGTGGGGGAGCCCAGAAGCACCCCCTTGGGTATCCACTACCCCTGGTCAGGGCAGGGAGTGCCACTGGTGAAGAACGCCCAGCTCTCTGCCAAGAAGGACACTGTTCTAGACAGGAGGGCTGAGCTTTCATAGTTCTGTTGAGTGGTTTCTTTCCTTGCAAACAAAAAAGTCACTGCGGCTTGCATGTTGTGTCTTTTTATAGTGTCACCACTTTTCTGCTTGCTTGGGCATTGTTACCAACCTTGCCCTCAGTTTCCTTTACGCCTGCAACATGCAGCTTTCTTGGTGCAGCCAGTGCTGTGCGGGATCTTGCTCTCCTCTCTCAGGTCTTCTGCTCGCTTGTAGTTGCCCACATCAGTCAGCTCTGTGCATGGCCCTGCATTACGCTTTGGTGTGCGTTGGTGTATACAGCCACAGAAAGTGTGCATAGGAAATATTTAACACCTCTTTATCATCCTTTTTCTGCCGCTGCTTTGTCCACAGACTGAAAAAAAAAAAAAAAAAAAAAAAAAAAAAGGAAAAAAGTGAGACGTACCACTTTGTGGTCCTAGATTAGTCCTGTAAATCACAACTTTTCTGGGTCGGCATTGTCTTATTTGGGACTTGTATGATGCCAACACTTAAAGAACAAAAACCAGCAATTGCACTTAACATTTCATAGCTGGAAGATTTTTTTCTTTCTTGGAACAGTGTACCTCCACTGAGAGGAAAGTGGATGAGAGGACAGAACCATTTCCTCAGGAAAATCAGCGCAAGAAATCCCACTAGCCCAGACAAGAGCATGGTCCAAGAAAATTTTGCATCCAACCCACTGGACTTGACCAGATTCAGCCCAATGAGTTCAAGGGGCCTGATCCAGAAGGTCCTTAGTTTTGAAGTGGGAAGCGTGTTTCAAAGTAAAAGCTCTGCAAATATCTTCTCTCTGGCTTCCTGCTCTCTGCCACTAGTCATCCTTGCCAGCATGTTTACACTTCCCCTCGCCTGCGGTTGTTTTATCAGGCAATGTGTTTGTTCTGCGTCTAGTATAAAGTAAGTGAGTAAGCGAGGGTTTCACACACACAGGTCCTGCACACATGCAGTGTGCTCAGGATGACACGGACGAGTACAGTATTGAGCATTTTCGTCTTGTTTCTTCGTACCACTTTTGGGGAAAGTGGTTGCACTTCAGCAGATGGTGATGGTGAGTCATTTCATGTTCATCTTTCCACTCATGTATGATCTTGAAAACCTGAGCTAAGAGCTCCAAAATGCAACTGCTGGGTTAAATATGTTAAAGTTTTAGCCTCCAGTCTCTTTCTTTCACTGCCAGTACCTGAGGTGTATGTGGAGCTGGCTTATCTATTTAATTCCCAAGTCTGCTGACCTTTTAATGTCCAAACTTGTCTGAAATGAGGAGGTGATTCCTGTATGCAGAAGGCATGCAAGATCAGACTTGTTAATCCTTTATTTTTGTATGTAGTGTTTGTGTGAGGAGTTATGCTTGTTTCACTCTCCTGCAGTCTAGGATCACTCTGACCTGCCATCACAGGATGCCGAGGTTCTGACTTCTCTTGTTCTTGGCAGTTTCCTCCAAAGAAAATGTCTTAATATACGTCAAGTGGGGCCCAACTTGTTCCACTTCAAAAACAAAACTTTCTTTTTTTCCTTTAAACAGTTGTGAAAGCTCTACCTGGGGATAGTCCCATTGTCTTTCGTACCGTGGCTGAGGCGGCAACTCAGCCATGGGCTTCTCACAGCCCATCACTAAGAGCATTCATCATTTACATGCAAAAAAAATAAAAAAGATAAATTAACTCAGTGGATTAAAGTCAGGCTTATTGCAGATTTTGCTATCTCACTTGGACAAATGAAAATTATTTAGTTTCATCAAGATCAATAAAGTCACAATCAATTTAGTCTCAATCAAAATCATAAAAAGCAATGATAAAAAACACTGTCTTTCAATCTGTTGTCCCTTTTCTCAAAAGGGGGCTGAAAAACTGCATTTGTAGATTCATTCTCAGATCTGTTTAACTCTTACTTGTCTAATATTAAGCAAACAGCTGTGACAGAGCTGAAGGACATGGACTGTCATTCAGTTACTGGTAGCTTTAGGGTACCAAAATTTCATCAGTAAGGAGCAAAATACTTTTCTGGTTTGTAGGAAGATGATGTCTGTTTACCTATGCTGTCTCACATTTTTAATGGCTAGAAATCTCTTTTTCATGTAGTTGTCATTTATTATACAACGTATATATATACACGTACACACATACATAGTTAGGTTATGCATGATAAGTTTTTGAGTTGGTAGAGAACAGAAGAACTCAGAACTGCATCCATCAAATTTTGTTGTGTTTGGTTTTTTTCTTTCTTTTTTTTTTTCTCTCTCTCTCTTTTTTTTTTTTTTTTTTCTGTTTACCTTTTGTTTGTACAATTTGCAGCTGTTTAGAGCCAGATTTTGCAAGCAGCTACAGTCGTAAGTGATCAATGCCAGTGATTTATAGCAGATGTCACTGAAATGTTCAGGGCTTTCCAACAGCAGATGGGAGAAGACCTTTCCTTTGTTTCCTCACTAGCTTCCAGTAAACCATAACTAATCCTTTGCTTAGAATTAAAGAAAAACAGATTCAGAAAATCCCCACTGAGCAATTACCAGCTTTTATGATTTCCTTATGAGTCATATGGGTTTGACCAACAAATTGAAGAGCATGATAGATGTTTGGATTTCTCTCTGTCTCTCAGAGTCACTGTGCTGCCTGACAAAGTGCCACCAGCCAATGCAGGCATGATCTCATCCATGCTTAGGTGCAGAGGAGAGGAAAAGTTCAATGTAGCACTTGCCTTCTTCTCCTCCTCTTTGATGAGCAGCAGGTTGCCTCCTCAGCACTGCCTCCCCAGCTCTGTCCCTGGCCTGACAGAGCAGTGGTGACCCCAAAACTCCCAAGAGAGCTACAGGCAAAATGAAGCCAGGGTAGCCATGGATGTGCAGGCAGGCACGGGCAGGAGCAGCAGGCAGGGGCAGGACAGCCAACATCAGTGGCCATCTTTCCCAGACTTGTTCAGTTTATCCAACCCACATCAAAACTGTTGTGATGAAAACAACTCCTTCCTGAGACAAATAAACCCTAAAACAAGATGATAAGCTGTCTGCTGCCATCATCACTAGAGCTTTCACAGGGCTCTGGCCACAGAGCTGGTCACTTCATCGACTTTGCAAATTCTGTCAATGATCCTGCAGGCAATTACTAGTGTCTTCAGTTTCACACATTGTGGTTAGTCCTGGTGGCTTCAAAGCATAGCCTCTGCTAACACTTCTCTTGGTAAAGGCTTGTGAGACTCTTGCTGTGATTTGAACCATTCTGCTGGGTGTTGGCCAAACCCAAGGGATGACCATTTCTGTGAAAGACCTGCCAGGGCTGTAGCTGTGAGAGCAGTGTTTCTCCCTCTGTAATCACTCCACCTCAAGCCATGCCTTGATTTCAGCAGAGCCAGGCTCAGGGGTCTGTCTGGTCTGGGTTTCTAGAGGAAAAATACTATAATCTTGTAAACTTCTAATTGTGCATACGGTCCTTAGCTATGGGAGCCATGCTGGAGTCACCACAACTGTTTATGCAGCAGACACATTCGTGTGTGGTATTTCTGAAGTTTGGGGAAGAAGCGTGACTGGGGCTACACACATATGTACATCAGATAAAAAAGAATTTCTTAGTCCATGGAGGAACTGTACCAGGAAAAGCATTTCAAATTTGCATACTTAAGGCCATTCATGAGGCTTAATTATCATGTATTCAATAGTTAAGGTGTTATTTCCATGAATAAGGAACCATATTATCAACAATATGAAAGTTCAAAGAGGTAAAGTCAGCTTTCCTTCTACCCAGGCACCAAAGGTGAACTATGCTGGATAATCATTAAATGTCTAAACTGCAAGACAAGACATTTTTCTTTCTTTTGATTTTGCAGTCAGCCTTACAGGGATTAACTTAAAATTTCTGTTGCTTTTCAGCAAAGCAGCAGCAGACACCTGAGAAATTCTTTCTAATATGCTATTTTTTTAATATGATGTTTGCCAATTCACCATGTTTATATAAGATATTTTGTATGTAAATTTTATACACAGAAGACACCAAGCAGTCTCTCTCTATTACATAAAGGAAGATTGGCCATCCTAGTTCACAAGTTTTAATGCTGCCTTGAGGTAACTATGCGTATAAATAAACCAATCTCCTGGACCATTGTAGCTGAAGTCTTAGGGATGTGTAAAATGTATGTACATACAAAAAATAAAATAAAATGTATGTATATTCAAAATATATGTACATGTAAGCTTTGAGTGTATTTAACTGTCTAAAACTTGGTAGGTTGGTGTGGTGTTTTTTTTTTCCATTTCATACGATTCATTTCAGCTCACTTGTTATCCCCTGAATTTTGAATGTATGTGTATATATGTACAGACACACAGACTTACCTCAAATACATAATTATATACAATATACATTTTTGTAGATACATGTCTGCCCTGATGGCTCAGGGCTGTGTTGGTCAAGACTTTCGCCTCGGTGAAACTGCTGTAGGGTTTGTTCTGGAGTTGCACTGGCCTGTGTGTCTCTCTCTTAAATGTGGTGGTCAGAGAGCACGGCATGCTACCTGTGCTGCACAGGTTGTCCCCTCAGACAGGCTGCCTTGGTGGAAGATGCCCCATTTCCTCTTCCTTCAGGGAGAGCCGAGCTCCCCTTGGGACAGGCAACACCAGACCTGCAGTGGGAAGACCTGGAAGAGCTTCTTAGCACCAGGTGCTCACAGTGGAAATGGGCACTAAATCTTAGCTCAGGGGATAGATCTGACTTCTGGAGCAGTGCAGCATCAGATGCTCCTGTGTGAGGGACCCCGGGGGGATGACACTCTTTACTTACACATTCATGCAATCACAAAACTCTCCCTTGCTTTCTCCATTTTGTTAAACAATGACTGTTTTGGATCTTCAGGTGTGCTCCCTCTGCAGACAAGGTCTGGATCTCCCTGTATGCTGGCAGAGTTGGCTGGAGATTATGGGTTATCACCAGCAGGACTGTGAACTGCAGTGTCCCCTCTGTGATCTGAGCCACCTGGGCCACAGCAGAGATGACCATTTGCTCTGGGAGGGACTTTCCATTGGGAATATCTCCATGGGCATTTCCCCACACAGTTTATGCAAGTGCTTGAGTCACCGATATTCCTGGCGCAGCCCAGGACGTGTTCTTGCTGCAGTTGGCGCACAGCATGGGAAGGGTACGTGGTGGAGTGGGTAGGAGACAATCCAGCGGAGGATCAGGAATAGTCCCTGGACATAGGGGAGAGAGTTACGTATCATCACAGCTACCCTTAACCACTGGTAGAAGTGGACAGAGGCATTCCTGCCCTGAGAATCTGCTGAAGGGCTCGCAATATCCCTTTCACCGTGCTCTTGTCTACTGTGGGTGAAATTTCATGAAACTGGGCTGAACTAGCATTTTCTGCCAGAGTCCTCTCAGAAGCATCAGTTTTTGTTTCACTGACCTTATACATGCCTAGTGTAGGACATGAGACATATGTTCTTAGTCAAATCATGATTGTTTTATGAGTCATCGAAGCAAATTTGCAGGAAGCTGTGTGTTCTGGCAGAATGTCTGAGCTTTCCCTCCTCAGCCCAAATTTGTGACATTTCAGAAAACTCTGCAATTCAGTCAAAATATGCTGTGGGGCTTAATTGCCTCATGACACCAAAATACTCTGGCTTTCCTAAACCCACCCATATCATTTTCTAGCCTTCCCAGGTACCTGGGGACAGGCCAGACCTGCCCAACACAGGCAGGGGCAAAGCAGGGCAGCTGGTCCTGGTGCAGAAACAGCAATAGCAATGATGTGCAACCTTGTCTGTGGGTCTGCTGCTTCACACTCAAAGGTATTTGATGTCCTTTCAGGCTGTTCTGAGCTGAAATCCCTACACAAGTAAGTCCTGTTGAAACTAGCCCTTGCTTTTGGGCAGACATTAGCCCTGAGCATCAGCCCCAGACACCTCTGGTGGCAATTGTGCAGAGTGTATCCCCCAGTGTGTGTTTCTGTGCTGTTTGTTTTCAGGAGCGTTTTGGTCCTTGTCATGTCTATTCTGCTTTACAACAGGTATCATGAATGCATATTACTCCCATTGCTCCCCTTTACATGCCCAAGGATAGCAGCATTTTGTGGTTCCTAATAGGAAAACATATTTGAAAAAGTTCTGGGACGATTTCAGCCAGGGCAGGTCCTGCTTTTTTCTTGGTATAAAAATCATCTGTAACTTTTAAAGTGAGAATTCTCCTGGCTCAAACACAGGAGGAATTAGAATTGGACTGCAGAGTGAACAATATATTGAATATATTTATACCTCATGGAGGCTTAAAGGACAACATTAGCACCCCTCTTTGCCCATGATTAACAGAATAGCAGAGACATGGGGTGTCATGTCTGGATGAACCATCTGTGATGCAAAATTAATTTATGGTTCACAGGCCGATGTGCAAGTTAAGTGGGTGGGCTTCATTGGCATGCATGGAGAGCAACCTTGAAAGGTGCAAGTGGCTTTTAATTTCATTTTGAACAAGCTTGCTTTGCTTCTTACAAAACATATAGGCTGATCCTCTTCCTTTTAGGCAACCGCACAAAGAAACAACCTCCTTTACAATGGAGCTGCAAACTGAATACACATGCTGGTTTGCTTTAGTACCATTGTGTGAATCTCTCTCTAGGGACCTTTGAAGATGACGAACCAGGCAACTTTGACATTGACTGCTTCAGCCAGCTGGAATTTAAGGATTCCTACAGCAGCCTGACCTGCAACTTTACAGAGATGCCTCCTCACAACACTAACTATACCCTGGCTGTGTGGTAAGTGCTGTCAGTCTGTCTGTAAACTTCTGGGAAGATAAATGCTAAAGAATTGTTAGTCACACTGCCGAATGCTGGGAAACAGGAGCAGAAAAGTGAGACTAAATTCTGTTTCAGAGCATTTTACCAGGTTTAAATACTACATTTAGCAAAGAAGAAGAGCTTACTGAAGCAGAATCTAACCCACAAGAAGAAAAAAAAAATCAGATGGAAGGATCTATGAAGGCTATTATAACGTCTCCAATAGTCCTCATCTTGCTCCTATTGCTTTGGAGCCTCTATTGTTTTTGGTGAAGCTAAGCATAAGACAAAAGCATTTTTTCTTTAAATTAAATGATTTTTAAAAAGAGAGAAAGAGAGAAAGAGAGAAAGAGAGAAAGCGAGAAAGCGAGAAGGCGAGAAAGCAAGAAAGCAAGAAAGCAAGCAAGCAAGCAAGAAAGAAAGAAAGAAAGAAAGAAAGAAAAAAATAAAATGAAAGAATGAAAGAAAAAGAATGAAAGAATGAAAGAACAAAAGAATGAAAGAACGAAAGAAAAAGAACGAAAGAACGAAAGAACGAACGAAAGAACGAACGAAAGAACGAACGAAAGAAAGAAAGAAAGAAAGAAAGAAAGAAAGAAAGAAAGAAAGAAAAAGAAAGAGAAAAGAAAAAAAAAAGGAGAGAGAGAGAAAGAAAAAGCAAACCCAGACTTATCAAGTAAATAGTAGGAATGAATTTGAAGAGGCGGATCCTTTCCACTGTGAATTATTTCATAAGAAGTCTTATTTTCCACTGAAAAAGTCTTTATCTAGGTCAAGACAAAAGTTAAAGAACTGTCTTTGCACACACAGACATGCAAAACACACACTAGAATGAGTATACAAAAACCAAAAACTTACCAGACTTATCAGTCATCTCCACTTCTAGTCAAGGCCATGAAACACTTCCACCTTTTTTTAAATACACCTAGATGAAGAAGCTCAGATTTTGTTTCTTTAGCATACTTCTGTTTTTTCCCTTTGCATGTTTTTCCTGAAACTGAAAGTACAGTGACAACCAGCAGAAGTGGATTTTTTTTTCTTTTTTGCATCTTACTTTTCTAATCACTAATTAATTTCTTCCCAACTAGTTCATTAGAATTTTTCTGTTTTCATGGGGTTTATTTTGGATTTTGGCTGAAGTTTTATGACAGTCCTCAAAGACAAGTCACGCAGATGGAAGAATACATAGATACGTTTCCACCTCTGAAAAGGTATCATATGTCTCCCTTATGGCCTGGCTGGCCATTGACCCCTCAGTCAGTAAGAAATTCCTCATTACCCTATTTTGCCCTATATCTAAAATGCCATCAGTAAGCTCATTTTTAAAGATACAAAGTTTTTCTTAATACATGCATCTCCAATACAATAGTTTTGTTGTTGTTGTTGTTGTTGTTGTTGTTGTTGTTGTTGTTGTTGTTGTTGTTGTTGTTGTTGTTGTTGTTGTTTTAGGAGCTCTGGGACTCCTACTGTGACTCACATCACTTTATTACTTTGCTCAAAGACCATGAGGAAAAACAATACCCATCCTTTAATCTCTTTATTTGCATGTTATTTTTTCTTATTTCATATGGAGTCTCACTTCAGTTAAAGTGATATGAGCAACAAGGATTTGCCCCATATAGTTTTATAGTAAGACTGAGAAGAAACTAATGTGTCAACACATTTGCTCAACAGTACCAAAGAAGACAGCAATTATGTGTGTTTCAATATGGAGAAACGGGACGACGTGTATTTCTTACAATTCACTGATATACTCTCTAATAAAGATATTTGCATGGAATATGAGATAAAGAGAAGAGTCTGCAGGAGTCTGTCCGTCACTGACATTGGTAAGACATTGAACATTTTGTAGATTATAAAGGTATAGACATTAGCAGGTGTGTGTGTGTGAATTGTCCAGGGCAGCACCTAAAGGTCAATCTGGATAACATAGAGGAGGTATAAAATGGTGTCATAGGATGGGATGGAGCCTGGGTTTAGGTGTTGGTAGAGTGTGATGCTTCAAAGATAAAGATGACTAACTCCCATTAAAAATGTGCAGCTTAATACTGGCTTATCATAGCACTGTTTGCCCGGACCTGGACCTAGAATGAATCACACAGGTGGTAAAAGCAGCTGTACCTGGGCTTGGATGAATTGTCAAGCAGGGATATTTTGTCCATTTCTTACTAGGGCTTGTTCAGTTTCAGGGCTGACCGGCTGAACTCTAGCCGAACCTTGTAGCACACCAGAATCCCACACAGGGACTGTGGGGTTGCAAGATCTTGCTTTTTCACACCTTGCTTCTTGGTGGAGTCCATGGTCTGAACAAAGTGTTCAGGCATCCTGTGGGGCAGAAAGGACACCAAGAGCCCATCAATGGGCTCATCAAAACCGTGCTAGGAACCTGCCTACGTTAAGAAATAGGGAGCTCCAGGAAAGAAGGGTTCCTTAGGACTTATTCCTCTTGGAAGCTGGTCTCATTCCAGGGCTGCAGAGAAGCCCTTGTAGGGCAGCCCTGTTTTCTGCTCTGGTGCTGGATTGCTTTGCCTTCCTTTGGCAATAGTCACAGCAATATCCTGCTCTTATAAAGCACTTCTGCCTCAGTCCAATTGTTTTGTAATAATCTTACACCACCTCTGTCTGTGGGACAGCATGGCCCATCTCTGGTGGTGCCTCCTTCAAAACTGTTGGTGCTGCATGGAAGGATTAAATATTTGGAGAATACGGAAGCAACGGGCATAATATGTGACTATATGCATTTTTGTGAAAGAAGAGACACATGGGCTCTCTGTTCTTGCAAGAGCTGATGATAATGCAGGAAGCTTCATTGGTACAAACGTGGGTCCCTGTGATCCTCAGGCATGTCCAGCCTCAGGCAGGGCTTACAGGGCCGCATTTTGGACTTGTACTTGCAAGGGTGGTCATTTTGCCCTGTTTCCTTCTACAGACCAAGTCAGGTGTGGGTTCACGGCAAAGGCCTGGAGCTGCAGCCCCCTCTGCTGCATCTAACACTATCATGCTTCCTCTCTTCTTCTGTCCCACCACCCTGTTGGCCACCAGATTGCTTCCAGTGCTTTAATCCCAAACAGTGATCACTTTTGGCATGGGGTTGCCAGCTCAGAGTACTTGGAAGGACTGAATTTCAAGTCTTCAAGCATCACTAGGGAAGGGTTGGGCATGCTCCGGAACTACTTTCCAAGACTAAATGTCACAGTCTGCGGAAACGCTGGCCACAGTTCCGCTTCAGCTGGTCAACACCAAGCCCATCTTGGGACCAAGGTATAATGATGAGCTAGCCCCAGAGTAAAACTCACCCAGCTCAGGCCAGCCCCCACTCAAGACAGGTCACCTTGCAGGGACTTAAACTTGACATGGACTCTACTTTTATTTTATTTTTGAAGACCATTCTGTTTTGTAGTTACATTATTCTGCATCTGTTGTATCCTGGTTTGTTGCCATTTGCAGTTAAGCCCGAGGTACCATTCAATATCAACATCACATACCAAAAGGAGGCAAATGAGTATCTTATTCACTATAGTACACCGCATTCATGGAAGAAATACTTAAAGGACAAGTTAATACACCAAATTGCCTATCGGCAGGGAGAAGGTCCTTGGAAGGTAAGTATATGTTGGTGAGCTTACACTAATTTCTGAAATTAAACGCTATCAGAACTACCAGTATCGTGCAAAAACCATGAGGTCTGCATTTCTTCAGTTTTCCAACTGACAAGTAGGAAAGGAGCAATATTTGTCTTTTGGAAATTTCCGTAGTCAAAACAACCCCTGACCAACAGCTCCCTTGTCTGTTAGGTGCTTCTCTGGGCTATCAAAGTTTCATTCATTTGTCCTTGGGCTTTGCCATGGAAACACAAGACATAACATCATAAAGAAAAAGAAACATCTTCAGTGCAATAGTAACAGTGTTTGCTGTGGTGATTTTGCTCTTATTTTGTATGCCTATTAGTCAGTAATTGCATCTTTTTGCATGTCTAGACAATAGAATCGCCATACCTTCAGGTAAAGTTACTGGGGAAGAACCTCGAAACAGATGCCTCTTATGAGGTGAAAGTACGCTCGCAGCCCAACGGAGATTATTTTAAGGGCACGTGGAGTGAATGGAGCGTCTCCAAGAGCTTCAGGACTGCAGGAGACCACTCTGAGGAGAAATGTAAGGGCAAAAAGCATTTCGGTTCACGGGGCCCTAAGGGGCCATTGGGCTGGTGACACCCCAGCTGCCTGGTTTGCCCTGGCAGCAGCAGTGATGAGAGCATGGGGAGGGGAGAACCAGCAGCCACAGCAGGGCCAGCTCTGCTGAGCACCTGGTCACACGATGGAAATCACCTCAGTGCTGCTGTAAGGATGTGGTGAGCAGCAGCTGCCCGGGGCTGGGGGTGACAACAAACCTCTGGAAACCAGCCTGGAGCTCAGCCAAGGGCAGGAGCCCTGACCACCCAAACTCTCACACACTTAGGGATGTGGGAGAGACCCACCACTGCACCAGGCCAGTGCTAGGAAGGTGCAGTGCTGGGCTCTTGTCTCTGACAGTCTAAGGTGGTTATTGTGGCTAGCAGTGAGGCATTTATGGGCACTGACAGATGTCCTGTGTTTGCCTTTAGATAACAGCATGTTCGTGATTATGCTCTCCATCCCTGGATTCATTCTGTTAGTTGTCATGATTGTCCTGATCCTAAGTTTTTGGGAAAGCAGGTAATCTAGGTCTCTTCATATGAGAAAGATTGTTGCAAGCCAGTCCTCTTCTGACAGCCTTCCCTGTTGTACCTATGATCTATTCTCTTTCTATCTCTGGGCTTCTGTATCAAGTAAAAGGCAGACAAAGATATGTTCTGCAATATAGGCAGAACATACCTCTGCTGCTTTAATCAGACTTTAGTCTTGGGCTCAAAATGCTGGGGCCCTTGGGAATCTGAAGCCACCACGAAACACTTACGTAGTCAGTGTCTCACTGGGGGTACATTTGACTCAAGAGCTTCATGCAAGACTCAGAAAAGAAAGCAAGCTGTGGGTTTTAGTAAAGTCCCAAGAGGTTTGGAAACTGTATAGAGAGGAGAATACCTCTTTTCCTTTCACAGTCTGAGTCAGCAGGGTGCTGCTTTCAGAAGTGCTGGGGCAGTGCTCTCTGCATAAGGGCGTGATGGAATCAGCTACAACCCCAGCTGGGTCCTCATCCAGCTGTGTGGCAAAATCAAGCTCTACAGCCACCTCCAAAGCAGTCAAGGCAGAGGTGAGATCAGAGCTACACTACCTACACAGGCAGTCCTTAGTCTCTGTGAGCTTTTTTTGTGTATCAGCTACAAGCAGTAGATAGGTGCATGTAATTTTTTTTTTCCAGTATGTAGTAATATATACTTATATGAAATAGATAGCTAGTAGAAAACATTAAGACGATAAACAAGTACAAAAATACATCTGGAGTGATCAGAATATGAAGTGAAAAATTCCCAAGTTCAGCCATAGGAGATGAGCCCCCTGAAAGGCAGGATGCCCAGGGCTGGTTGGTGGCATCCAGGGCAGCTCCTGCCCATGGCATCCAGCTTCACTAATTCCCAGAGGGATGCCTGCATGCCAGCGGCTTTTGGGGCAATACTTGGGATGTCATAACTCCTGATTTACACATGGAGATTGTCTGGGAGTGTGGTTAGGTGACCTCAGTGAAACTGTGTCAGGAACATTTTTAGTAATTAAACATTTTAGCCACCTGAATTGTCTACCAGGGACTGCTCCCTGGTGCTGTTTAATTTGCAAGTATAGCTGTATCTTGAGATTTCTAGCTCTCATTTTTTCCTACTGTTGAGCACCTGCACCTCTCTAACTTTTCTAGAAGTTCTGCATATGTAAAACTGATGAAAAAACAGGTTTTTAATATGGTGAGTCCTTCTGAATCTGGAGTTTTCCCTTGTAAAAAGAGGGGTTTTATGCTTATATATACATATATATATATATATACACACATATACATACGTATACACATATATAAATCTATATATATATGTATATAATATTATCATACTGCTGATAATTCTATAATATCAGCTATACTTATATCACTGCAAAGTTGAATGTCAGTCAGGTTGTATTCTGTAGATGCATCATGGCTGAGGGTTTTCACAGTAGCACAGCATGAGAACTTTGCTAATTCAGGCAGTAAAAGGAAACCTGTAGTCAAGGTTATAATACAGATACCTGAAGCAGAGAAATATGGCCAAGGAGTAGGAAAAGATACATTTCTTTGACTAATATAAACATGCAGAGGCAAATATCTGTAAATTTGCACTTCAACCACAGCCTCTTTTTTCACTTGCAGAAGATGGTTTCACCATGCAAAACCCAGTTAACACAGCTAGATGTAAATGAGATCTTTGCCAGCACAATTTGCTGCTTTCCCAGTACCTGGCGAAGTGTTTTACTTTAACTGCAACAATTTGTGCACTCAGAAGAACAATGACTATTGGGTGACCTTTATACCTCCTCTTCTTCTCCTGTCTTTGTTTTATTCTGGAACTTCTCTGTCATTATTCTGGGTAATGCAAGTCACACCTAAGGCTGGGTGAGAATTAGTACAAATGATGCAACATGAACCTCTGTTATCTCAGCATGTCTCATTTTTGCTACTGTTGAACTACTTGTCTACTGTTGCTGTTTCAGGATCAAGCCTGCTATGTGGCCAAACCTTCCTGACCATAAAAAAACTCTGGAGCAACTGTGCAGGAAACCAAAAAATGTATGTATTTCCACTGCCTTTTTCACCTGAGTATAGACTATTGGGAACAAAACTAACACTCATTACGGAAGGTACATGCATTTGCTATACGAACTGGTCCATCTTTCAGAAATGACTTCTGCATTCTGAGCAAGAGAGCTAATATTTGTACAGGCAAATAATAGCAAAGGGTATGGATATAACAGACAATTCAACTGGTGCCTGAGCTTTGGCTTGTGGAAAGTAACAATAGAGGGACGGAGAACCTAATATATGAAGAAAGGTTGAAGCAATTGGATTGTTTTGTGGAAAAGAGAAACCTCAAGGTGACAGTGCTAATCACAGCCTTGTAGTACTTAAAGGGTAGGCAGAGGGAAGGTGAGATGTTCTCTTCATAAGGCTGCATGGCAAAAAGAAAAAAAGCAAAAGGCAGGTGCTGTTTTGGGGGAAATTTCATCTAGATATATGAACACAATCCTTCTCTGTGAGACCTGTTAAACATTGTGTAGGTCACCCGGAGCATACCGGTTGCTGGAAATGTTCAAGTCTTGGCTACACAGGGCCCTGGATAACCCAGTTTAAGGTCCTGTTTCTGGCAAAAGGCTGGACCAGGTGGACTCCAGAAATCCTTTCCAAGTGGGACATTTCAGTGCTTCTGTGAAACTGTGATCACAGAGCAGGATGGGAACCCTTTGCAAACATCCCCAGTGATACTCACGTCCCCTTACACAGCCAACAGAATTGCTCATAGGCCAGACAGTACATGAAACACTCTGCCAGATAAAAGTCTGATGGGTAAATGCCACAAACTTTGAGGGGCAGGATTAACCAGTTGCCTTAAAACTACATCTACTATACTTTTTCCCTAAGGAAACTCAGCACAGTTGTCCTGCCAACAATCCATCTGGTGGATGATTAGCAAGTTCTTAATTTTCAGAGGTCAAAGATATCTCTGCCATCCCCTGTGTTCCCTAGTGCAGGGATTTCTAATGTGTTTCAAGAAGTCAAGATAAAATTTTATTTCTTTCACTGCTAAATTAGGAACATAGAACTGAAAGGAACTGCCTGTGCCAGCACGCTTGTTCCTATTAAATGGCAGGTGTGCAGTAGATATGTGGCTCCAAAAAGTCTCTAAAAAACTATTCAGTGATGTTGCCTGCAGGAGACCACATAATAGATTCAGATTAATACACAAAAAGATGTTGAGCTTTGAAATAGCTAATTCTCTACTAACCTGTTTAGCCTGTTCAGGGTTACTTGCAGAGTTAAAGGAATAATAAATACCTTTCTAAAATCATACGAACTATCAAAGGATCTTTTCTGTCAACTGTTGGCCACTGTTAACTGACTGTGCTGTTCCCTTTGCCATGCAGAATTTTGATATAAGCTTTAACCCAGAGAGTTTCGGTTACGTTTTTATCCATAAAGTGGACGGCATTCGAGCAAAAGCTGAACAGGAAAGCTTTCTGCAGCCACCAACTGCTCCAGAGACAAATGTTCCAGCAAAGGTTAGGAGTGCATCAGACCTGAAGAGGAGCCCTGCAAGGACAGACAAAAGCAACCTAAACCTGTCCATGAGTTACGGAGGAATCTGTTCATCAGAAGCCCTGCATGGTCTCCTGGGAAGCAACCAGTCTGCAGACACTGAAGGCGTCTGTGGATCCAGCATGTATGAGGTGTGCCACAGCAGTGGGGTGCCCCTGTGTGAACAGGATAGTGACTTTCCCTCTGCTCCTCCCCTGGATCCCTCAGGCCAACTTGGACCAGAGCCCCTGGAAGGTGACATGGTATCCCAGATGCCACCTAGCAGTGAACTGAGGTCACCGAACAATGAAGAAGCCTATGTCACCATGTCTAGCTTTTACAAAAATCAGTAGACCCTACAGACATGACAGAATGCTGTTTTTTCACCAACACAAGTGGGATAATGAAGCCGTCTATTTTGTTTTCCTGTGTCCTGCAGCAGCGAGCTCCCACCTCCACCACACATCCTGATCACAGTGCAACGCTGTACCTACAAGGAAGTGGGTTCTTCAGCCTTTTAGTGCTGAGTATCCTAACCTCCACTCTCAGCCTGCTGGCAGCAATCTCCACTGCGGCAAAAATGAAATTTAATTTAACCTGACTTTAATCTTCAGATCTGATTAATCCAGAGCAATGACGCTGCACTCCTAGACAAGGATGACAGCATCTCTCATAAAAGTGAATGCTTCTGATAAGCTCTTATTAATGCCTAAGGAAGAAATATGGTAACAAATTCAAGTTAAATAGTACCTGATATCTTTCACACCAGCACAGATCAAGAATAACTCATCTGCAGTCAGTGGAAGTCCACAAGTTTGCAAAATGCCAGTAAATGAGAATTTCATCTAAGCATTAATCACCTGGGGATTCAGGAGCTTGGCCACTGCAAAGGAAGTTTCACAGAGCCCCCAGGAAAAAAGGCACATGGAATCACTTTAAGAAGATGTTTTCTCAGACTGAATTTTTTCAGATAGATGAAAACAACACAAAACCCAGCACGCAGCTCGTTTGACTACCCTGGAGTCAAATTCAGGGTCCATGGGAACTTCTGCTAGTAGTTTATATTAAATATCTTCAGTTATTTCATGTATTGGCAATTTTTTTAGACAACGACACAAAACAGAATCAATGAAAAGCAAACTCCTAGCTCTTCCTATAACTGAATCAGGGCTGTAAAACACATGTTGCTGTCTTTCTCTGCAGCTCTTACACAAGCATTAGTACAGCATGCAAATACTTTCCAGGACAGATGGACTGATCGGGTAATGTTTGCTTACTAGCATTAACCCCAGTGACTGTGGCTGCATGAGAATGCTTTGAATTTGGCCAGGAACTTTTCTCATGCAGCTTCTGGCCTAGGAATAGGATGGAGCATCATGGATCTTGCCGTTCATCTCAAGATCCATATTTTAAAAGTAGTAGCTTGTAACTTGCCTGGAGGTGATGTAGAAAAAGCCTTTAACATTATGACTAAGGAAGGCATCCTGTCCCTTCCCATTAATCCTTCTCTGGACTCTGTGCCCATTTGTAAGGGGCTCCCCACAGGCTGCCACTCCGGGAGGGCTGAGCCACTTCACTGTCCCTGTGGGACGCTGCACACTGCGGAGCACACGCTTGGAGACAAAGCTGCTACAGCCACACGGTTGCATGACAGCCAAGCAGTGTGGCCATGGGAAATCCAAGATGCTTTGCTGTGCTCTGGGGTTGGGGTTCACCACACTGTGAAGTATCAGTTCCTCTAGCTGCTTGAAATCCTCCTTGTTCATGTTCATGTTACCAGAGTCCAAGGGTAAAAGAGTCCTCCCTCATCCTCAGAGCTGCTTGAACATTTTCTGACTGCTAATAACCACGGAGAAGTTGTTATATTTGATGTAGTCTGCTGGAGAAAAACAGCGCTCCCAAGACAGCTCTCCACCAGCCCCAGCTCCACCTGACATCTGGGGACCCTTCAGACAGGGATAGCTTTATGGTCTCTGCATGCAAAGTGGCAGAGAGTTTGGCTCATGATACTCCAGTGACATTTTACAGAATTGTTTTTATGACTGTTTCTCACCAAACGACAGGCTGATTAATGCAGTAGAAAAAGATGAAAGCCCTGGACATTCATTTCCTTTATGATATTCGTATTTCATTTTTTTAAAAATAGCTGCTGGTAATGCTCATGCTGTGCAGACATGCACAGCATGACTGTAGATGTGGAGAGAGTGTACTGGGAAGACAACCTCTTCCAGTAACGCAGTGACAAAGAGGGGATAGAGGAAGAAGCAAAAGTGCATCAGAAGAATCCTGTACAGTATGTGCTATGCTTGTTCTGAGCTCATACATACATTTTTAATGAATACAAGTGCCACCACCAATGTCTATTTGCACTATTTGAACAGTAAGGTACCAACATCTAATAGTCTTTCTGCTTGTCCAGAAGAATATACAGAATACATACAGAATACAAAATATAAACATTTTTTCTGTATTTCTTTAATACGGAAAAAGAACCAGCAATCTCGTGTTTATTTACTGTAATCACTCCAAAATAGTTACATTTTTCCTATGTAGTCCTCATATTTTTGCATAGCTGCTATGTTTAAACAATCTTATTCTCTGTGCCTAATGATTTTATTTAATTAGGTAACTTGTAACCTTGGTTTTATAATGTATTTACTGTATTAAAAGGACATGGCTATTTGCATGACCTATTTGTGTTCATCTTCTGTCTTCTTATGCATATCTATCAGAAGAGGGTTTACTCTGCCAACACTGAAATTAGGACAATTTCATGGGCTCTACCTAGCTTCAGGCAGGATAAATCTCAAATAATTCCAGACAGCTCAGCGGTGTGAAAGCATGGAAGTGGTGCCTTGTGGCTGCAGCCCACCTCCTGCCAACGGCTCACAGCTGCTCAGGGGAGCAGAAGCATTGACCAAGACCCTTTGTGCAGCCGTGAGTCCACACCACAGCAAAAGCAAAAAGCCCTCAGGCTTGCGAAAGCACAGGTATGCAAACATTAAGGCAAATTCTCGTGCAGGTTACATGTATTTCCTCAGAGATTGTGCTTTGGTAACACACTAGTGAATGATGGCAAGTATGAAGCCTTTGGTTCAATAAGTTCATTCCACTGTAGCTTTTCTTCATGAAGACTATAGGCTAACTCATGCCAAATACAGGCATTACTTTCTTCTAGTTGTGTACCTGGGTACAGGATGAAGTCTATCCAGAAAGGTGTATTTTCAGGAGAGCAGCAATGAGCACAGCCAACTTGAGGAGGGTCAGCAGTAAGGTTTCAAAGGACCCTGGCTCTGAGACACAGCTGTGAAACCCATTAATTGAGCTACATCCAACTGCTAGCAAGTCAGTGCCAGCGACCTGGTCAATGCAGTGGTGTTTGAGCAAGTCCCTTCAGGCCGAGCTTTTGCAAGCACTAAGCCCCTGCGAGACAACGCTGCTCGGGGATTAGCGCTCTCTAAGCATGCAGAGACTAGCAGCGCTCCTTCAGCTTTGACCATCTGGCCTGAACAGTGGGAGATGAATCTCTTGGATAAAACAGTCCCTGACTATTTTGTAGGCATTGGGTAATGGTGTTTCATCAGCCCAGTTGCCCTGCTCTGCACGTAGCTGCCTGATGTTGGGGTGCTGGGCACTGTCAGGCTCCCACTGCTGTCCTTTCCCTCATCTCTCCACAGTCCTTTTCCATAATGCAAGCATCTCCTAATGCCACACATACTATCACCCCTGAAATAAACTAAGTCTTTTGTCAGGTCTAATACAGTCACAGACTAATTTTAATGATGCCGAAAAATGTTAATTATCTCCCAGGACAGTAATTGTCCCCTGCTGGGTTTATTAGTTTGTTTACCAGATCTCCTCCTCTTGTGCATGTTCATTAAAAATATCGATAAAGCACATAAAAATGCTGCTTGTAGGATGCTAAGCATGGGGACCATTTCGGTCAGGGTGAAGGAAAGATTAAATGCAAGTGATGCACTGTGAAGTTGGGCCACGAGATAAACAACGGGGCAAAGATGCCTTCGCCTTGCAGCAGGAAAGGATGAATCTCCTCCAGGTGGGCCCTGATGCTCTGAGAGGGCTCCCTGCCCATATCGGGCTGGGGACAAGGATCTCCTGACCCGAGGGGGAGCCCATGCCCTCTCCTATTGTGATCCACAGGTTTGGGATCTGCTCTGTGCTCCTGAGATGATGCCCCATGCCACAGGGTGGCCAGCCACCCATGCAGGGATGCCCGGCTGAACAAAGGGCAGATGGAGACAGCAGAAGCCAACCGTGAAACCACCCCAGTAGGAAGGGGCAGGAGGTTGCTGGGGTCTATGTCTGCAAGGCAGGGGCTCGGCTCCTTCTGGGCTTCCCAGCAGAAGTGTTTCTTGCCTGCATTTGTACAGTAAGGCTGCGATGTGGCAGTGAATAGAAACGGTGTTGTGCTCACTGTGCTTTGGGCTTGAGATAGTTCTCACTTTGGTCTCCCGTTCCTGAAGCTATCTCTTCAAATGAGCTAAAATGAAACATAAAGGAGAATTACTGCTTCCATGAAGCATTATTTTGGGGTTAAAGTGTTCCTTAGTACTGTGATCATGAAGAGTCCCAAATCAGCACCACTGTGTATAACAGAATATTGGCAAAACAAATCTAATCTACCAAAAGAGAAAAGAAGTGATGATGCTGGGAAATGCAGATGCTCCTTTTTAGAGATGCTCCATTTCTTGGCTCACCCAGCCAACTCCAGATTTCACCAAGGCTTGGCTGTTCCTTGGCTTTTAGGTACCTCCTTTTAAAATGTAAAGCCACGTGGAAGTGGCCAGCGGTGGGACACCACTGGTGTCACCCCATCACGGAGCTCAGAAAGTGTCCCCCGGAGAAGAACAGGGGAAAAAAAAACAAACCCACAACAAACTAAGCGTGTTTCACATCTTTTTTGCCTCTGCTTTCAAACAATGTGGGGCAAAAAATAGCAAAATTCAGACTTTCCAGGATTACTGCATCATTAAAATGAAGTAGGCATCGGTGTCCACAGAGGCACTAACTGCAGAGTAGTAGTTCAAAAATTCATCTTTTGTAACCTAGGAATGAGAAAAACAGAGTAAAAAATGTGTGATGGATAGACTGTAGCCCACAGCAAGGTGTTTATGTAACACGTTCCCATGTTTTGCAGAAAAATCTTTAGCCCCTTTCAGAGAAGTCTGACTTTTTCATCAGGTTGTCCTGATCTGACATCAGGATGTGCTGCCCCAGCAAGCTCTGACACTTTGTTTATTCCAATAACTCTGAGGTCAGTGTATTGAGCTTGGTGTATTTGGAGACAGAGTTGTTGCTATGTCCTGGCAAACTGAACGTAAGACAAGTTATTCTAGTTATTGCTAAATATTGATTGCAAGACTTAGATGCAGCAATGAAATTAGAGTATTCCAACAATAAAACCTCAATAAAACCACCACCAGATGAATGCAAAAAGCTCCAAATGTTAGTAAATATATATATATATTTTTTTTTTAATTATTTTTTTTTTTTTAATTAAAAATGAGAAACAAAGCAGAAATCCATTGGTGGGACTGTCTCAACTACTAAGTCTATGCCATAAGATCAGAGCTTCCCTGGAGGAGCTGCAATCATAGCAAAAGTCACAGAAAGTGGGCAGCTGGTGATGGCATCGGGCTGCTCTCAGCATTTTCTGGTTTAACAAGGGAAGCTGAGCATGCTGCTGCTCCCAGCACAGAGGTCAGTAGCAAAACCAGCCCAAACCCACCGGGCTGGCCCCTTGCATCAGCTGTTGCCGGCAGAGGTGTGAGCCCGGCTGCGGGGTGGCACAGCTCTGCTCTGCCCACGCAGTGGTGAGGCTTTGGGGCAGGGCTGTGGAGTCGCTGCCTCGCTGGGTTTCATTTAGCAGCGTGCACAGCTGGTTTAGTCTGCAAAAACCTCAGCCGCTTTCATCTGCCCCTGCCAAGACAGCTTTCTGCCAGGGGACCAGCAAAGTGAACCAGCTTGGTGAGCGCAACCCGTGTCCTGATTGCAAGAGTGAAAGAGGCTTGCATCAAAACTTGGTTACCTGAACCAAAAATTCGTGCTGCAGGAGAGAAACATGAACCAAACATCTCTGGACCAGATCAAGCCAAAAAGTTTCGCTCCAGGAACAAAAATACAAAGCCACAAAACCACACCGGGGCAAAACCAACATGAAGTACCAGTTGCAGAAGCTGCCTTTCTTTTCCTGGGAACATACTGAAGGGAGAGGCTGTGCCCTGCATCTCCCCCCACCTTGTGCCAGTTTGGTGGAGTCACAGAGAAGTTCTAATGGCCCAGGTAGAGGTAGGAGAAAGCCATTTCCCTCCCTGAAGGACCAGATGGGTCAGACAGCATTTTTGCAGCAAGGCTGGAGCCAAAATCTTCACCTCTTATGTTGCCTCACAGCCCTGCAGACTCAGATGTTCCTATGGTTTGTGCCATCCTGTTTAGCATCTGTCGCACAATCAGAAAGAAGAAATAAAATGTTCGAGCGTGAAGTACCAACCAAGATCTGACAATCTTGATGGCAGCGCCAGATACGGTCACGTGCATTGCCACCTATCTCCCAGCATCTGCCGTGTGCGCTCTGCAACCACGGGCTGGCAGGACAGCCTGCACCGAGGTCTATCTCCAGCATCTGCCATCTCTGTACCCAGCACACAGCAGCCTGAGGCTGGGCACAGGCAGTCAAGCTTTGTTTGTGGCTCTGCTGGCTGGCAGCGCAGCAGCCTCGGCAGAGAGGGATGGTGAGGGGCTGAAGGGCAGCTCAGACTTTTGAAGCAATATAATTGTGAAAAACATCCTCCTGAAGGTGCTGAGGAGCACACCCCATGGGTGACAGGACAGCAGCTGGGCAGAGTGAGGAGCCCACCGGGTTCCTCTGACACCAGCACGAGGGGCTTGAGCTCCCCCGGCTCCCACACTCAGGCCAACGTAAGAGGCTACATCAAAAGCTGCCTGAGGCTGGTAGCAAAGTTTCTGCTGGCTTTAAAAATGTTTTGTTGTTTCCAGTTCTGCTGTTTGGTTCTGTTGTTCCTGCTCCCAGTTAATCTTCCCCTCTAGAAATGTATATTGCTCTGGGGATTAAGTAAAATCAGAAAGGGTTAGTACTGGGAAGACAAACTGGTTAGGAGTTGCAGCTATGTAGATTTAAATTTCCATTGCCCTTGATTAAATGTCAGCACAACAGATTACTCGTGGAGTCTGAAACCATGAGCTAGCATGTCAGAAGGAAAGCACTTCATTTTGTGATGCCTGCCATCCATTACCATTGCTTTCTTTTGAGTTGAAATTTAGAAGATAGCTAACACAATACCCTGTTCTGGAGCCAATTAGTAAATGAGAAAGAAATGGATTGCACACAAGCTGCCAGGATATGCAAAGCCTTTATTTGCAGCAAGTTTGTTTTTCATATAACCTATGTTAGCACCTCCATAGCGTCTCAGTAAGACTCCTATTATGATCAATGGTAATCACAAAAAAAACTCCTTCCACCAGTTTACACTGTTAGCCAGTATGCAAATTTCTTGAGGCTCACAGATCAAAGACAATAACTGATCATGCACAGCATTTACTAAGGAATTTCATACACCTATTGCTTGTATTGAGGTCATGGCTGGAAAAAACAAAAGCAGAGTTTGCACAGGACTAGAGCTACAAGCACTCAGGACTGCAGTGCTCCAGCTTAGAGCAGTCAGGCATTGGGACGGGTTGCCCAGGGAGGTGGTGGAGTCACTGTCCCTGGGGGTGTTCAAGGAGAGGTTGGACGTGGTGCTTAGGGACAGGATTTAGTGGGTGACATTGGTGGTAGGAAGAGTGTTGGACCAGATAATCTTGGAAATCTTTTCCAAACTTAATGATTTTTAAGATTCCATGTGTTTTATTAGTGTAACACATCCTTGCACACACTAACAGTCCATACTAAGCACAAGCAGACTTCATCGGTCAAATTAATTTGAAAGTATAGTCTGTGAGTCTACACTGCTTTTAGCTGGCTGCCAGTCTGAAATGGACAAAACACTGCAATGCACAAGCCATTTACTATTTTCTACATCAACTCTGTCTCAGGGAACATCAACACATTGTGAGAGAAACAGAAAGAAGACAGCAGATCTCAGAACTGACAGTCTCATCGGTGTGGCCAGGGGCAGCAAGAAGAAGGATGTGTTCCCACCCTTTCTTCAGCATCAGAAACAGAAGACGACCAGACAAGAAAATTACAAGTTCCTGAGTTCCCAGAAAGTTCCCTGAAGACATAGCTCTGTCATAAACCAATACAAATATGAAAAGCAGAAAAAGCAGCAAGCAACTTTCGGTGTCAGTGTATACAGACAACAGCTACCCTACTGGTAAATGTTCCAGGAACAGAGAGAAGAAAATACTGTAACACACGTATGCCATTTAAAGAAAACCATTAGTGAGATGGTTTCAGAGTACAAAAAGAAAGAAACCAAAGTGGGGAGAAAAGCAATAAGCAGGCCCACAGAGGTTTGAAGCAAAGCATGCGCACAAAAGATGCCTGCAAGCTGACATACTTTGAGTTGTAAGCTGTGGAAAAGACAGGGCTCTAAAGAGTCTTTGGCATTTATATTGATCCATCCTTCCCTGCTTGGTTTGTTTCCCTTTCCAGCCTCCCGGCACTGGGAACTCACGTGTTCCCAGCATCAAGCTGAGCACTTGGGCAGTGGCTCCGTCCCACGGGTGAGACACAAGAAGCCAGGAGATGCTGCAGTGCTGCAGGCGAGAGGGGTATGTATGTGACCCTCCAGCCCACCCCTGGGGCACTGTCTCATGTTCCTAACAGCCTGCCCCAGATCATCACCCTTTCTGAACATTTATTTTCCTCCTATTGTGTCCTCTGCCCCGCAGAGCTGTATCTAGTGCTGGAGGGTGATACATTCAAGAGTCACGGTGACCTGCTGCAGATGTCTGAGAAGAGAACAGCCCATCTCAGAGAAGAAAAGACATGTCAGGGATGCAGGAAGAAAAGGGTTAGATCTGCTGAGTGGCTGTATGCCAGATCTGCTCTCCGATTATGCTGCCAATCCCCTGAGGCTGAGACTACCAAAGCATCTGGGAATTATTTCTGTAGATTGACTGTAAGACTGTAATTGGCACAGTTACTGGAAGCTGCTATTATGGAAAATGAGCGTGTTGTTGTGCATACACTTAATCATGGGAACCTACAAAAGGTGAAAGCAAAGTCTAGTTCCTTTAATCTTACATTCAGAGTTTCCAAGCGTTCTTCATCATGACGATAAAATAGACATCAGTGTCTATTGAGGCGCTGACTCCTGCATAGTAGTTCATGAATTCTTCTGTTGTGACCTGAGACAGAAGGATTTAAAATAGAAAAATGAACTTTTTTTTTTTACTTTTTCATGTTATAGTAAGCCAAAACCACAAATTGAGAAAAACTCTAAATGAAACTTAACACCTGCTATTTTGTATTGTTGTTAGTGAAAAGGAACGTAACAGGAATAATGAAGACAGTGAAAATGCACAGAGTTCACTTTACCAGAAATAAGGGCTCTTGTCCTCCAAGAACACTTGGATGGAAATTAAACATGCAGAGTTAAACTAACCTTATCAGGTTCTAAACTTAAAGTCAATGCCATCCAGGAAGGCAAATATTTTATTTTACTTTTTTTTTTTTTTGAGGAGTGCTATCATCTGTCTATTTGCATTATCATTAATACAAGTGGATGGGGTTCCTGGTGCAACCCAGAGACAGATATGAGCTTTATACCTCTTCACTAGAGAGAAAATATCAGTGCCCTAACAGGTCTCACTTAAAGAAACAAAAATTCTTTCAAATACTAAAGCGTTTTTGAGTATCTTTAATAGGTAGTTGATGATGAAAATAGTGCATCTCTTGTGATACCTTAACTCTTGAACCATATGCATTATTCTTTGAATATAACATTACACAGAAAAATATTTACTCCTATGGTGTTGTGCATTTGAGAGCTAAGCAACAAATGACAAATGGGAGAAGGGAATTCTACAGCCTGTCCTACTATTACGATCTGATTGCAAGCTTCACGGACCCTGCCTGTTTCAGAGGCACCCAGCAAGACCATGATGAAGAGGACCTGTCTAGCAGAAACTTACCCAGGAGGCATTTTAGCTAAAAGCATTTTAGGTGTCATCTGTTCATATCAGAGCCATTAGTGACCCCTGATTCTGGCACAGGCAAAGTCAGAGGCAGTTCTCAGAAGAAACCACAGTCTGGTGAGCTCGCTGAACAGACTGCTGAACAAGAGGGGAGTGGTAACTTTTCTGTAAGTTCAAACACTGTAGCATTTATTAGGAGCAAGGCATTGATGAGGCCAATCAGAGGCATTCAGCTTGTCAATAACAATTCTGGGGGCTCATCTTCTTTAATGTATTCATTTATGACCTCGGCAAAAAATGAAATTTTTGCTGAGGTTTGCTAGACATCATCACTGCTGCAGAAAAGGGACAACTCTCACAACTGGTACCTCTCAGGATGACACAGCAGAGAAAGGGATGAAACTCTGTGCTACTAAATGCAAAGTCATGCCCAAGAGAAATAAAAGCAATTACTACTGTACCAAACTGAGAACATGCCTGTTGGAAACAAAACAGGTGGAGGATTTGGGTGTATTAACCAGTCATTATACAGGCAGGTGTCACCAGTACAGTGCAGTAAGAAATCCCAGGTGCAACCTAAGACTATTTAGGAATAGACAGTGAAATGTTACAGACATTGCATAAAGAGTTGATGAAACCTTATCCAGTTCATTATTTTGAAAACCCGGACCACAAATATTGACAAGTGAACAGCAGAAGTCTCTCAGTGTTGATCCGATGCATGTAAGATCAGACCAAAGAACTCTGCTAACACATAATGAGGGGAAAAGAAGCATGCCTGGCTCAGAGACAGTTATGAATGCATGAGAAGTCCATCACAGAGGGTGCCCAGGCTTTGCACCTGCATTGGAGAGGAAAGGAAAGCCTCCTACCCCTGCACTGTCTGGTAGCTCCTGGGGAGCGTGTCTGGTGGCAGCCCTGGGTCCCTCTGGCCGCACTCTCACAGCCCTCCAGCCACAGTTCTTGGCTTTCCCTCTGCTCTTCTCAAACCTCACTGTCCCTCTGACACCCTGTGGATAAGTCCATCTCTGCTACAGATTGGTTTCCAAGTAAAGCATCTCAGAGAATATGAGTACTAGAGAAACGCTAAATGAAAGTATTTCACATATTAGGGAACCTGCTTTTGAGCTGGATCCTGTTTTTATTCTCCTAAGAAGTAAAAAAATCCTCCAATTTACATAGGTTTTGAAAATTAGCAATTGAGTGAGTTAGCCTACAAGCCCATAAATGCAGTCTCATGCTTACCTTTGCACCTCCTGTTCTTTGCCTATCAATGCCTAAGCAAGCTACACTAACAGTCCTACACAGAGATTATGCATATGTTTTACTGTACCCCATGTATATGATGCAAATGCATGTTTGGTACTGGGACCATTTTCACGTTTAATAAATTAATTCAAATTGTGAGTCAACTGGTGACTTCATGGCCTGACATCAGACGTATCACTTACCTTACCATCTTTGTCATAGGGTGAATCAAAATTATCCAGAAAGGCCTTAAAAACCTGATCTTCTGTCCATTCTCCGTTTTGGTACTTTGGGTGGTGCTTTGCATTATACAGTCCCTTTAAGTCTTCAATTGTGATGACACCATCTCCAGTTCTATCTAACTTCCTAAACACCTGCATGATGATCTCTTTTCTGGCATTCGACATGGGAGGCTGTAAGGAAATATCAGCAGATTCAATTTATTTCTGTAAATGCCCAGTTCAAAATTCATGTAACTGCTCTTGTTAATAGTAAAGCGAGTTCAAGGCACATAAGACAGCAAAATGCTGACAGTCTACACTGTCCATGACATAGGAAGGGCAATATATCACCAAAAAGTGATGTGGTAGAGTCCAATTAATGTCTATCAACAGGATTGTAAAGGAACAAAAAGAGAGAAAAGACTTCTTGAACACTTCTATTCTACCAATTTTAAATATTTCTGTCATCAGCAAGCACTAATTATTTTCTTTATAATTGTTGTGACTCAAGCAGAGCAGAGGCTCCAAACAGAATCTGTCATGCTGTGGTCTATTAGAGAAAGCCCCAACTAGGCTAGTTCACGCTATGAGGAAATATAATATAAGATGAAGGACAGAAAAGTGAGATTAATGGGCTAATCTACATAGGTACCTGGACTGTTATATAGGAACTGAGGTACCTAAATCGAGACAGCAATTCATAAAAATCCATCACAACCATTTCCTTACTTAGGACTATTAGATTTTGCCAATCAATTGCAGAGACATGTAAGGTTCTGAGCTTTCTCATCCACAGAGGAGTTACTTGGGGGTGATTTTTTTTCCCTTTGGCATATTAAGATGGAAATAGAATATTGTAACTTCTCAAGAGTTACAGAAATTGTAAGTACAGCTGTAGATTTTGCTAGTTTCTGAGGTGCACAACAATACTGTGTTTCAGTAGTACTGAAGTTTAGCTAATGATAAATCAGGGCTCTTTCTCCATTTAATTCAGTAATAACATAAATTCCCGGACTTACTCTCAGTGTAACAAGAAATTCATCAAAGTCAATTGTTCCACTGCCATCTTTATCAAATACCCGGAAGATCTCTTGTGCTTCTTCCTTGTCTATCATCATAGCATAATCATTTAATCCTTTCACAAATTCATTGAAATCAAGGGTCCTGCTGTTGTCATCATCCAAAATGCGAAATACTCTGTGGAAAATGTTCAATTTGAGGAGAACGGAAAGGAGAATTTAAAGGATGCTGCAGAGGTTTAGCAAGGTGCTGGAGAACAGGGCCACCTTACTGAGATAACATTTCCCCCTTGCCCATTCTTCTGAGAAAAACAAACACACACACACACACACACACACACACACACACACACACACACAAAACAAACAAACAAACAAACAAAAAAAAAACTATCGACAGCAGAGTGGACCTGCTCCTGCTTAGATTATGTTCCTGAAGCTTAAGTTAAATGAGTTGAAGGCACCTTAACTGAAGTAGTCTTGCTATTCATTACATATTGAGCTCTCCAAGAGTTGTTCAGATAGATGAAGTTGCAGCGGGTCATCTAGGATCCCTCTGAGGCTAAGGAAGACAAGGAGAGTTCCAGGGCATGACCCAGCTACCCCTTCCTGGGGTGGGGTGCCCCACACTCTCAGGGTGACTGCAGAAGCAGCCTGTGTGCCCCCCATATACTGGGCAGCTGACAGATCATTGTACAAGGGGAGTCACACCCCAAGGAATGACAAAATCCCTCATATCGAGGCACTTAAGTTAATTGCAGAAAACATGAAGGGGAGAGAGATGTTCTACATTCTTCCTCTCTCCCTGGCAAAAATTAAGAATTAAATTCAAACATTTTCTGGCACAGTTGGTAGTTGGGTGGAAAGTTCAAAGGACCAAAACTTTGAGCACAGGCAGCTAAAGAGTGAGTTGAATGAGCCTGAATTCCTTCCCTGGATCTAGTTCAGAAATTCTTGAGGACTCACTTTGCCACTTGTAAACAAGATATCAGGGAGGGATACTGCACTTTCCAGGCCCAAACAACAGCACAAGGCGTGCAAAGCACAGCCATGCTCAATAAGAGCAGTGGGGATTCCTACTGCACAATTCAGCAGGGCCAGAATTTCAACCAAGAGCTGTTTTGGGATCTTTATTTTAAGAAAGACAGAATAATTTAGGTTAAACATGATCTCTGGAGGTATCTAATGCAACTTTTCAGTCAAAGCAATGTTAAATTCAAAGCTAAGCCTAGGTGCTCAGTGCTCTAGCCAGCTAGTGTTTGAAAGTCTCCAAAGATGGAAGTTTTGCTTCCAGTGCTTAGCTGTCTTCCAGTGCTTTGTCATGCACATGGTGAAACAGCTTTTCAACATATTCAGCTGGAATTTCCTTCACATCAACTTATGGACACTGACTCTCACCTCATCATCACTGGGCACCCTACAAAGAGCCCCCATCTCTTTTTCCCATAACCACCCTTTCGCTACTTATGGTGCCCCCTGCAACTGAAACTGTTAGGCTGAACATTTGATTTGACTTCATTGATTTGACTTCTTGGACTCACCTGCCAAGTCCTTTGATGCCTGCAGATCCCCTTGCTAAGCATTTCAGTCGAAGTCTTTCTACAGGGTCAGTTGTTTTAGACAGGTTTCTTTTGGCCTGGATTGCCATCTCTCGGTCATGCCTTTCCGTACCTGCCATCTGAAAGATCGAAGCTCTCAGACAATGTGCATTCATACACAAAACATAGTGTACTGAAGCCTGCCTTAGTATATAGAGCATCCTAAGTCCCTCACTTGTAAGGTGTTTGCAACTCTTTCATGAGGACTCCTTTTCACCCTCTATTTCCTTTTCATTTTATCTTTTTCTCAGAAGAGGAAATTGCCAGAGGAACCGAACATTTTCTTTTCATTGAGTGAAAATAATTGCTTTGACCTGCACTTCATGGGCCACCAAACCCGAAAGAAGAGCTCAGACAACGACACTGCTGCCTTAACCCAGATGAAATTTGAAAATATGGGTACAAGTTTGCTTGCCTAGAGTGTACAAACACAATGAAAGCTGGTGGACATAACTGAGAGAGCACTGCTGCCACTGTACTGCAGCCCCACTGAGCCTCCTCAGCCTTGCCAGCTTGGCAGTTAGTGTTCCCAAACAGGAAAAGCAGTGACAGCAAAAATTGTCCTGGCTGAGGGCTTTCTTCTTTTCTGTCTGTTGTTCCCCATGCTGATGCTGGGGAGAGGGTGTGTGGGCAATGAAGACACTTGTAAGCTTGGGTCCCCATCCTTGTGGCTGAGTAGGGAAGCAGCTCAAGGCCAGGACTGCCATCCATAGCCTGGCTGCTGGGCCTGCAGATCACGAAGAAGGTTCCCAAAATGTCTTCCAGCCGTTAAAGCATCACAGGAAGAGGCCACGGTGTGGCAGAGCTGTGGAAGGGCCTGGCTGAGTCATGGCAGAGGCCTGCCTGGGCCTGGTGCTCTCTGCTGAGGGGTGCCCAAGGGAGGGGAGATGTGGAAGGTGGGCAAGCATGATGTGGAGGCATCATGGGTGCCCACCACACTTCGAATCTCGGTGTCATTGAACTGAAGCAGTCAGAAAATTTCTGAGAAACTGGGGATTAAACTTTTTCACCTTAACTACTCCACTCCTGTCTACAGGGCATTGGCTATGGCAGCTTGTTGTTTTTATGTGTGCTGGCTTTTGCAACCCCTTCAGACCCCACCAACTGAGCTTGGGAGAAACATAAAGACAGAAAGTCTTTGTTCCCCAAAATTGTTTTCAGTGCTAGCATAATGCAGAAATCCAGTGTGGTAGAAAAGAGATCGTTGTCAGCTTTTGCTTCAGCCAGGATGGGCAAAGTTATCCCAGGAGCTCATTAGTGAGTGACCAAGAAGCCTTCCAGCTATGCGAGGTCAGCAGTCAAAAATGTTTTCTGGAGACAATGACCCGTCCTTAAGGGGAAATTTTTAGCTGCCAAGAATATAAAATACAGTGAGATTATGTAAGTACAGTGCAATCTGTATTTTCATTCTGTATTTATATCCTATAGCTTCTATATATTATGCATATATATCTATATACAGTGTGCATAAACATTCATGCTTAGCACTGTGTTGTCTGCCTCTGTATTACATTTAGATGCATAAATACTATGCAAATATGATCGAGACAAATTATGAGATAATTCGTCTCCATTGCACACTGAAAATATCTACACAAAAACACCACGTAAGGACTTCAGTAGCTCTCTGCCTCAGGCTCAGTGCAGGCATTTCCCGTATACTGCAACACACATCAAATAATCATTGCAGTGAGATTGATGAATTGAGGCTAGAGAGGGACCATCTGATATGATATCTATTATAATCTCCTATACCTCCATAAAAGCCACTGAAACTGTCCAATCCTCAATTATCTCTGCAGCAAGTACATAATTTGCTTCTGCACGTAAAAGCATTTCTAGGCAAGAACACGCCATCTCTAGACTAAATTGTACTGGTATTAAATCATTTTCATTTTAAAAATATCTCCTTTGCTTCCAGTCTGAAATTTCCCCATCACCAAATGATATTATATTTTCTTTTACTAGATTAAGGGCTACACCTGTTCAAAATTTCTCCAGATGCAAACATCTGAAGGCTCCTTTTAAGCACTCTTTGGCTAAGCAATTAGACAGAGCTTAGAACTCTTGCTACAAAATCAATTTCCAGATGTTAAATAATTCTGCTGTTGTTCCTGACTTGTTCCAGTACTTTGTCAGTATTCTTTCTGAGGTGGAACAAAGCATTATTATAATCTTCCTAATGCCATAGGCAGCAACAATTCCATTTTTTATCTCTACATATAATGGTTAAAAACACTAACAGTCAATAATTCAGCTGGTCTTTGAGAATCTACATTCTCTATAAATGTTCAATAACAAAATCAACCTTCACCATGCTGTGATATCAAACTCAGCAATTAAAGTTAGTTCATAAAAATATTGCACTTTAATGTCATATTACATTAAAGCCTTTTAAACGTGACCTGGCTTCCTATGCCACACAACAGCATGTATTTGACAATCCTTACTATACATTCAATGAATAAAGAAAAGCATTAAAATATAAACCCCAGCACATATGAGCCTGGTCCACACTAGTATGTCTATCAATTCCCTGTTTCTGCTGGCAGCTGCTATAAACTAAAGATGAACACTTTCATGGCTGTTAAAAGATTATTTCAAGAAATGTTTTAAGAAAACAGATTCTAAATCATAGCAAGGATGGAGAATTCACAGTGATTCAAAAGCTCTCTCTTTCATTTTGCTCTCCATATATGCCGCTTTTTCCAAGCAACCCTCTTTCTGCAGACTGTCCTATGAAATATTGAGAGAGTGCAATACCTGATTATGTCTCTACTAGAAATGAGTGGCAAAATCCTTTTGTTATTTGTTAGCAGCAGGATCCGATCTCAGTCTTTGAAAGGACAAGAGGTACAGAGATCTTACAAACAATGAAGCAAGATGTGACCTTGGAAAAATGGTAACAATCAGGTATCTCTGCAGGAAGTCCCACTAGCTGTTTAAACAACATTCTTGCTAGGACAAAAAGTAAAAAAAAAAAAAATAAAATTAAATTAAAAAATCCTTCAGATTACATAACAGCAGTACAATTTGGGGTGATGGACACCTAGATCAACAAGTCACCCAGCAAGAGATCTTCTGGGTGACCTGTTGGTCTCCATCTTCAACTGGAACTTCCCAGGGGGAAATGAGAAACCTCCTCTGAGTGGTTGCATAAGACCATCAGATTAAAACAACATTGTAGATATTGGCATTGAAGATAAATGTGGTTGTTCAGATCCTGCACTGGAATATGGAGCTCAGACATCCTGTTTTCCCTGTGCTTCCAGCTCTTTTCCTGGAGGATGAGACTGGAGGCCAAGGCTGGGATTTTGTTACCTCTCTGCAAAGGCATCCTGCCGCTGTGGGAGATAGAACACATAGTTCTTATGGAAGAACAAAACAGCATGTCTTATCACCAGTGATACTCCAGAGCCAAGCTTATGGCATGTCCTAATCTCTTGTCCTCTTTTTCCTAACTTTAAGCAGCTATTCCTACAGGTTGATATTAAGTATCTGCCCCTTCTGATGCACTGAATATGGGAACTGATGTGAACAACACAGTGTGTGCCAGGGGACAGACACCTACACAGTGTCGTGGTTTAACTCAGCTGGCAGCTAAACACCACAGAGCTGTTCGCTCACCCTCCCCCTTCCCTCTCTGGGATGGGGGAGAGAAATGGGAAAGTGAATCCTGTGAGTTGAGATAAAGACAGCTTAATAAGACAGGAAAATAATAATAATAATAATAATAATAATAATAATAACAACAATGATGGCAATAGTACTACTACTAATAATGTGTACAAACAAGTGATGCACAATGCAATTGCTCACCACCCGCTGACCGATGCCCTGCCTAACCCTGAGCAGTCTGGCCCCCTCCCCCAGCTAGCCACCCCTATTTACTGTTCAGCATGACCCCAGATGGTATGGAATACCCCTTGGGCTAGTTTGGGTCAGCTGTCCTGGGTCTGTCCCCTCGCAGCTCTTGCTGCACCCCCAGCCTGCCCATTTGCAGGACAGAAAATTAACTCTGTTCTAACTGAAACCAGGACACATAGTAACCAATGCAAAAACTAACTTTTCAGTATCCAAGCCCCCTTTTGGATCTAACATGAAATAATAACAGATACAGTCAGGATAAGTTGAATGTAACAGTTCACTGTGTACTTTCCAAATGTGTTATGTATTAATAACCATTACTACAACAAGAAAAGGTCATAACTGTAATTTTACATGTTTATAATTCTTATACCTCTTCCAAGATCATCACATGTCTCCCACTGTGAAATGAAAAAGGGGCTGGTTAATTTAATTGAACACTGGAGAGCCTTGTTCTGCCTTGCAGCCTGGACTACAAGCAATTACAGCACCCTGAGTTCCACCATTGTTTGTTTCCATGGGCAATGCTGTGTTGTGTGAGCTGAACAGCAATGGTTGCTTTTCTTACCAAAAGTTAAACCTGAATTTTTATTTATTTATTTAATTTTTCAGAAAAATGTCAAACTGTTCATCACCCAAATCTCCTTGCATCCCTTTAAGCCTTAGGCTTAAACCTGGAAAGAGGCAGACTTAAACCTGGAAAGAGGCAGATTTAACCTAAACTGTGCTCTAGTTCAATACTGTTTGTTTATACATTATCCTTCAGCTGAGCCCAATAGCTCCCTTACAAAATCAAGGCCTGATTTTCCTGAGAAACACCCAGGTGTGGCAGACATAAGCCCACATCAGTCTGTGAGTTATTGTCAGCTCTGAAAGCGCATGTCCTGGCCAAACTCCCAAGTCACACACCACACCTGAGCAAAAGATCTCAGAGTCTGTCAATCAATTTAAGTGGCCTAAACCAATTGCATGTATTTGGTTTTTATTCCTAACAATTTCATTAAATTATTGCAAGTGTGAAAATTGGATGGGTGTTTAGCAACCCCCTTAACATCTCACTAAAAATCAGGCTTCCCAGTCCCACCAACCCTTCTATGTCAGCCTGCAGCCTCCCCTTTACCTCTCCCCCCTCCCCAGCAGCACTTGGCTCTGTTCTGGCAAGTGGGGCATTGCTATTCATCACATTTATATCTATATGTGATGATATATGTATACGTATGTAAAACAAACTGCTCGCGGCCAAGCCACAAGTTCAACCGGTGAGAGAAGCCCGTTCTGAGCCAGAAAATGGAAAAGAAAATCCTTTACCTGCAACGTTATCTTGCACCTGGTGTTTCCAGCTGGGACTGGGGAGCTTTCGGGGGCCGGTATGGAGTGGTAACGCGGCTGCTCCCAGGCTGCTGCCCCGACACAGGTGGATGGTGAGGGGAGGCAACGTAGGGCCGTGGGCAGTGCCGGCCTCACGGTAGAGCTTCCTGGTCCACCTCGTTTTACTTGTTTACTTACCCAGCAGCCTTGCCTCCCCTTTTTCGGAGACCAGTTTACCAGCCGGTCTCCAGGGTGACACTGGTGGCTGCGGCTGGCCCAACCTGCAATTACGCTGCTTCCCAGGGCGACTGCCGCTGGGTTTCAAGCGTCCTTTTATTTAACCTGATTTTAAACAGATGCCTTCTTTCTCCTCCCTGCCCAGACAGGCTGCGGAGGGGACATCTTGCACCTGTGGGTGTGATGTAGGAATGGGGGACCCCTTGTGCTGCCTCTCGCCCAGACACCCCGCAATGCCCACAGGAGGGTGCCACAGCAGCTCTGGGGGATGACGGTGTTTTGATGACACGTTTCTCCACTCCATAGTTGATAGGGCAGAAAAGACTTGCTGGTTTAGTCCTTTACTCGAAGTACAATAGGAAAAAGTAATTAATAGCCTGACAGTTGTGTTTCACAATAAACAAGTTGCTGGCATATCTTTTTTCCTGCTGATTAATTATCATTTGGAAGACTGGCCAGCAGCAAGAGCCTCTGGGGAGATGCTGAGATGATGCTCGTTTGCAGAAAACTGAAAAAGGTTAAACACCCATCTGATGAAGGAAAATTTCTCTCTGTCTAGACACAGCTATTAACGACTCTGCCTGCAAAAGGTCACAAGCATTATCAGCGACATACTGTAGCACTTGGGTAAGGAATTGGGGTATTGATAGGCTTCTTAGGGGGTGACAGATAGCCCGTGTTTTGCTTCTGAGCCCTCTCCTGCAGCAGCATGCTGAACATACATGGTCAGGGCTGAGGGCAAGGGCAGCTAGCTCAAGCTAAGTGGGGAAAGGGCCCAGTCCTGCCCATGGATAAAACACCGGGTCAGAACGAGTATGTGCATCGTTTCCTGACAAGAGCAGGAAATTATTTTAGGCAATTAGTAGAGTAATAAAATTTGCATCCTAGCAGGCTGCTTATCTTTCATCGACAGGTACTTCCTGGTACTAAACTGCAGCTTGTGCAAGACTTCATATACGCTTATACCTCCCATCTGGCAACTGGTTGTACATTAATGCAAAGCCAGGAGACAATGCACGTTTAATCAGACAGTGATTCAAAAATCCCTGCCTCTGTGGCAGCGCGCCGTTCCCGCCCGCCGGCTTTGCTCTGTGCATCGATCCCCGGGGTCTCTGGGCGTGCGGAGCAGAGGGGCTGGCAGCGCAGGAGCAGCAGCCCCTGCTGTCCGCCGGCCCTCACTGCAAGGGCAGAACAGGAGCAGGGCCCGGGGAAGTCGTCTTCACAGAGCAACGACTCTGTCCTCGAAATGCAGCATCCCACCTGCGTGAAGCCACTCTTTGCATGCAGAATTTGCAGCTTTCAGAAGGGTGCCTGTAGGCTGGTACAGCACGGATGGGCTCTTGCAAGCAGAAGAGCAGGTTAATTAAACACTTGTATACTTGGTTGCTTTCTGCTGAAGGCAATTTTTATGCCTGAGCCCAGGCACACACATACATACACATGCACGTACACATACACATACATGTACATGTACACGTTCTGTTTACCTTCAGCACACTCCTCTGAACAATGTGCTATCTAGTTAATGAATTTCAAATCTGAATAATCATTAATGTGCTTTCAGGTGTCTCAGATTGCATCAGGCTAGAATTAAATTTATCTGATAATATCTGCTCTGGTACTGTGCACAAAGCTGTACACAGAGCTCAGGGGATTCAGAGTTTATCAGAAATGAGACAGGGGTTTTGCCAAAACTTTTGAATTGTTTCTTCTCATCTTCTAACCACCTTTGAAAACATAACTTTTATTTTTTATTTATTTATTTTTTCAGTCTGAACAGTCTGTTCAGTTTGTGGCTCAGCACTTGATTGAATCTAACAAGAACAAAAAAAAACCTGTGAGATCTATTGTAGTCTATATGCTTATGACAGAGAAGACGGAAATCTTGTTGATGTTCAGTTTCCAAAAGAAATCAGATTTCTTGTTGAATTTCAGCAGGAAGGAAGGCATAAGAAATGTACAGCCTCTCAAAGAAAAGAGAGAAGCCCCTGGGCATTTTGTCACAGTTTGCATGTAGTAGTATTATTTCTAAATGTGAGCATACTGTTTTGATGTGTGGACATTACTGCAGAGAAGTCCTCCAGCATTTACAACTGCAGGTATGAGGTATGAAAATGAGTGTGTCCTCTTGCACTTGGTAGAGGAGTCAGCACAGTATTTAATTTTCACAACAGGTTAAGAAAAATTTAAAAAGCATGGGGTATCAGAACACTACATCAAAGATGACTAAGTGTACAGCATAATCCTTCGTGTTTTTTTTTTTTTTCCTGCCATTAAAATTCAGAAAGTTTCACACACACCAAAAAAGGAACCCTCATGGTAAATAATATTGTCAGGGGAAAAATATTCCCATTTTAAACCAAACTATTACCTAATTAAATTGAACTCCCAACCTATAAAATATTTTTACATCCAAAAATGCTGTCTCCCTGTGCAGCTGGTAGCAAGCCAGCTCCAATAAATGGTGCTCGCAGTTGCTTTCTGGAGCTGAGACCCCATGGACAATGACCCCAAGGAGGACACTGGTGGGCCTGGACCAGGCTGTACTAGGCCACACAGGCCTTATGTTCCAGACTGGTGCCTAGGGTCACTCCCTGATGATATTTTATCATCTGACAGAGATGTAGCCCAGCCTCTCCACATGGGGACAGGGAGATGTGGCCCAGCCTTTCCACATGGGGACATCCCCGTGACAGTGGCACTCAGCTTCCAGCACAGGGTCATGCCTGGCAGAGCTGCCATCTACCTGCACGTTCTTCCCAACAGCAGGTCCTCAGCATTTCTTACCTTCACCACATCTTACCTCGCCCTTACCCCTCACTCTGGAGAAGCACAGATACATACATCTTTTAGCAGTATGTCTTCTGTTAAAGGTACGTGTTGCTTGATATTTTTTTAAGGTCATTTGAGAAGAGGAGCCTTCCAGAAAAGGGGACAGTTGTTTTGAAATCTTTCTTCTTGTAAATTTACCACAAACATGTTCTCAGCTGGAGAATGAAAAATGCAAACATGAGGTAGTTATGATCTTTATAAAACTCAGCAACAGATGTTTACCAAAAATCAGTTATTTTTAGCACCATACACACCATAAAATAGGGGAAATTTGTTTTAAAGCTTTTTTTTCAAAGTGAATATCATAATTTTTCTTTTATTCTCTTACATTTTTCAAAAATACTGACAAACATGTCACACACAATCAGACAATGTAACGAATGTCTGACAGACATAGAAAACTTCCGTGCTCAGTCCCCCCCCTCTTTCTCTCCTCTGGAAAATAAAACAGTTAAGTGGACCCAGCACTTAGTAGAATCAAATGTCTTTTGATGCTGAAAAGCTCTGTTTGATCTTTGCAGAGAGAGGGAGGTAAGGAAGCATAGGAAAGCATTCTGCAGCTTGATGCGAAGAAAACCATAACAATCTGTTCTGTGATAAGGACAAAGAAACAGAAGCTACAACCAAAGGAGCAGATTTCAGCGAAGCTGCTGTTCAGAGAGGCCTCCTGAAAGCCCATAATAACAAAGCACTGTTAATAGAGGTGGGGGCTGGCTGGGAGAAGCACAGACACTTGCAGAAAAGTCTTGATAACTTGTCAATGTCCCTCACAGTCCTCTGAAATGGGCATTTTTACATGTATAAGTATTGTGCAGGCACAGCTTGGCAGGAGGGAAAAAGATGCTAAGGAAGCAATTTCAGTAGCTGCACAGGAGAGGGCAGAGGCTCTTTCTTTAAGACTTGGGCAAAATATCAGCTGGAGTAGATGGAGGCTGAAGTGAGGAGAAGCTGCTTTAATTACCAGTGATGGAAATGTTTCACTAGTCAGTCTGTGGAGCATGTCTGACATCACTTATTACTTCAGTCTGTGATACAACTTCTAAAATAACCAAAAATAAGATGCATTCTTTCATTATTGTTCTCTGGAGCTTCCTCTCCAAATTATCAGCAAGGGCTTTTTGGGCCCTGTCTTCAGAAGTTTGTTGGTGGCACGCAAATCAAATGCTTTTCCCTACCAGAAAAGCTTGACATATGTCCTTGTTTCAGCCGGTGTAGAGTTAATTTTCTTCCTAGTCACTGGCATGGTATTGTGTTTTGAATTCAGGATGGGAATAATGCAGAGCAGTGCTTACACTAAGACAAGGACGTTTCAGCTTCTGATGCTGCCCTGCCCGTGAGAAGGCTGTGGATGCACAAAGAGCTGGAAGGGGACAGGGTCAGGACAGCTGGCCCAGGCTGGACAAAGGGATGTCTCACACCTGAGGGTGTTGTGCTGAACAATAAATCACTTGCTTGTGTATTCTTTCATTTTTATATCTTATTAAACTGCCCTTATCTCAACCCACAAGTTCTTGCACTTTTCATTTTTCTGCCATCCCAGTGTGGAGGTGGAGTGAGCAAACAGCTCTGTGGTGTTAAACTGCTGGGTGGGAATCAAAACAGTGTGGCAGAAAGATTAAGCAGATGCCTACCTATCCCTGTTGGTGATACAGCATTGTTCTACAGAGCCAGGGGATATCCCAGATTCCCTTCTCTATATAGCCTTCTCCCTTCAGAAATGACTTTTTCACCCAAAATGATTAGGTATTGTCAGGCTCCTTTGCACATGTGGAGCCCTGAGATGGTAACACTTTTGTATGTGAGCTGTTGTTGCTTCATCGAAGATTTTATTTCTCTGTCTGCAAAGGGCAGATTCTTGCAGAGATGAGACAGCAGACAAAGCTAAAGACCCAGGGCCAGATCTCAAAATGGATTAAAGCCAAATACTGGCATTTAACCTCCTCAACCTCTGTGGTGTCCAAAACCCTGTGGCTTGTGACCACCAGAACCTAAACATTCAAATCTTTCAAACCTACCACTGTTGAAAGGGAGTCTCAACACTACCAAGTCAGACCTGATCCCAGACACAGTGGAAGCCCAAACACATGCACTTAGGGCCATCTTAGCCAGCAAGGACACTCCAGACATCTGCACAGAGCTATTCAGTACCTACCTGAGCTCTCCTAGGAGTGTAGCTGAAAAGATAGCAGGACACCTAATGATGCCAGATGCATTGAGACAATTGAATCACCCTCAAGCTGTCTCTCCTACAGATCCACAGCAACATAAAATCATTTACATTTAACAAATAGCTAGTTTGGGTGAGCTTGTA